CTCCACTCTACTGTTACTTTTTCTCCTTTCAAAATTAGTAAATATTTTGTGATAAGATCTCTTGAGATTATTTGAATATCTCATTTTTCATCACAGTTTTACTCATGGTATTAAATGAGGCCATGTTCAAATGGGGCAAACTGTATAAGTAAATTCATGTAATCTTATAGGTTCAAATTGTACATTTGCCTTTTCACTTTCTAGGATCAATTTCTAAGGAACTGAAATGTTCCCATATCCCAAACCAAGAAAAAAACTCCACAGCATTTACTGATCATGGGCCTTTACTTTAAAATAGCAAACATATTTCCAAGAATGTAGTCTATATGTTCAGGCCTGGGTAAATGTTGGAGGACGATGAGCATACAGATCTTAATCAACACTTTCATTTCCATAGGACTTTACAGTTTACAAAGCATGTTCACATGCATATATCATCTGACTCTCACAATGCACAGGTTAAATTAGGGATTATTATTCTCTTTATTTTGTCAATAAGGAAAGAGATACTGCACACATAAATGACCAACCTACAGCCACACACCTGGTGATGTCCAGGCTGGCATAAGCATACAAGTCTCCTGTTCCAAGTTTTGTTGTGTTCTCCTGAGCTGCTTGGTGGAGTTCTATAATGAAGACAATGATGACGAATATGCCAAAGACCTCAGTGATGCAAGTGCTGATCGGTATATAGCTAAGTGAGTAAAACTGAATAAAGTCATTTTGTTCTCCAAGGCCTAAACTTAGAGAGGTAAAAATATAAAAATACACCTACTTTACATTTATATTTATGGCGGTTTAAGAGCTTCCCTGGGACAAAGATATACTCTTCTTGGCAGAGGAAAAGAAAAGAAAGAAATACATACAACATAGTAAGAGAGATATATATATGTGTGTATACACACACACACACACACACACACACACATATTGTTTATATGTTTTGTCTTTTCCATTGATGTTAAAAGCTTACGATGAAAACCAAAAGTCTTTCATTGCCAATATTGCTTCAGTGGGAGCTAATTTTAATCATTTCTCTTCTAAGGTTGTTACCATCACAATTCTCAGTGGTATACTTATACCTAATTTCTTAGAATCAAGAAGATTCTACCACTTATTGATTGATTGGTTGATTGGCCACCATTTTTTTATTTTTTTCATTGTGTTATGTTAGTCAGCATACAGTACATCATTAGTTTTTGATGTAATGTTCATTGTTTACATATAACACCCAGTGCTCCATGCAATACATGCCCTCCTTAATACCCACGACCAGGCTCACCCATTTCCACACCCCACCCCACTCCCACTCTAAAACCCTCAGTTTGTTTCTTGGAGTCCATAGTCTCTCATGGTTCATCTCCCTCTCCAATTTACCCCCTTCACTTTTCCTTTCTTTCTCCTAATGTCCTCCATGTTATTCCTTATGTTCCATAAGTAAGTGACACCATATGAGAATTGACTACCATTTTGGGGGAAAGGTGTTAATTTATATTACCTTCCCACTTTTAGTTCTTCCAAAATTTTGATGAGTATATCATGATTTTTCAAAAATTCTGTGTACTACCTTTATAACTTTAAATAATATATCTTAGTCACTTTCTATTATTCTCATCCTTAGGCAGCATCTCATAACCCTACAAGAAACTTACCTGCCTCCATACACTTCCCTCAGTCAACTTTTCTTTCTAAAGATTTTACACCTCTATGTTTACTTTTACATTTCAGACGTTAAAAATACACACATTCTGTTCCGTATGCCATAATTCATTCTTCTACAGTTCCACCATAGGTTGATTCCAAAATTTAAAGAACAATAACTTTTTTAAAACATCATTTATAAATATTAAAAGGATTTTGGGAATATATCAATTGGAGACCAAATCTAGACTTCAATTTCAAAAAGATCAGAAATCTAGGCAATGAGTTGTGGTAAGTGTTGGAAGAAAAGGGGCAATGTCATCAACAGCTTGTACCTGCCTTGGATACAATATGGACCAAAGACCTGAGGCTGTTCAGGTCTGCAGTGAAGCCAGATGTCTCCTCATTGTCTTTATGCAGTGTGGTGTGTAGAACCAATGCTCGCTAGACTCAGAGCCAGCAAAATTTACAGTTCTGCAATTCTGCCCATCATTTCCCTTTGGGAACTTTTCATCTCACCTGAGAAGCTAGGCTGATGGACGCTGTGTGAGGATTAAATGAGATAATGAATATGAAAGTCTTTTGTGAACTCTAAGTGTTTTATAGATATTATATACTGGGTCATTTCATAATAGAAGGAGTTTGATTCCTGAGGGTATTGAGATATGATGGATGAAATTCTGGAAACACTTTTTTGGGCCCTTGGTTAGGAGTAGCAGATACAGGTTCTTGTCCTCATCTTCCATGTGAGCAATGAGGCGTTTCCAATGTGAGTAGCTCAGAGTTTCTGTCCATAAAATGAGGCTGTTAACTGGCTCTCTTTCATCCATGATGACCGGGAATTCTTATATAGGTGTGTACTTTGCCCACATTTTGTACCATGGTTCCACTGATCTTCATGCACAGTCAGCAGGGATTTTTGTAGGTTTTTCCATCTGTACCATACATGGTGGTGAGGATGAGCTCACAGTATAGGGGGATGCCCATGCCATGGTCTTTATCACAATCCAGCTATGAGGAGAAAAAGGGATTTTGTGTACAACGAAATGAGCTTCTGGGGATTCAGTTCTGCTGAGGAAATGTGAGTGAGGTCAGAGGAAGAATGAGAAGGACTGAGGTAGCCAAAAGTTTGAAGGCAGCAGAGGAGAAAGGGGTGAGGCAAGTGGAGCAATATGGAAATCAGGTTCCTAAGAAGGTAGAAACAACTGAAAATATATAAGAAAGATTAATGAAGAGTACTGGGAAAATGCAGGTGTTTGTTTAAGACAGGGCAAACAATGTCAGGTGGAGGGATAGATCAAGATCAGGAAAAATAAAGACAAGAGAAGCTGAAGATCTAAGAAGGTGGGAGGAATTGGCATGATGAGAAGAACACAGCAAACTGAGAAACTTGTGGGGTTGTGCACAAATCAGGCGAGGGGAGGCTCCACACACATGAGCAGGTATGAGATACTCAGGAGAGGATCACACCAGTAGGGGGGAGAGCTTGCAACCGGGAAGTGAGAGCTGCTGAAGGTGGCAAGCAACTCAAAAGGGCTAAGCCAGCAAGACCATTTGACCACCTCTTCCAAGTCCTTCACCGTCCAGATCACAACTTCTCCCTATCTGCTACTTTTACTTAAGCAACTCTGTTTGTCTAAGATACTTCCCTATCCTTGCTCTTCTTCACAGTTTCCGTAGTTGACTTGACCATGTTCTGGCTTGACCTTGACTTTGAACTTGACTTTGAATTTGACTCTGATTCAGACCCATATTTTATCCCAATCATCCAGACCATGTTAGGTGTGTCATGATCATGGAGACAGAGTCTCTACTTACATGATTATATAACACTTTAGCAGAAGAATATAAATGTAGCCATGATCCAACTATTTATAAGTGTTTTTATACCACTTTTATGAAGTTACCCTAGCTATGGATTCCCTCTCTCTTCTTCTTTTTTCTTTTTTTTTTTTTTTAGATTTTATTTATTTATCTGATATAGAGAGTGGAGAGATCACGAGTGGGGGGAGAGGGAAAAGCAGGCTCCCCGCTGAGCAGAAAGCCCAATATAGGCTTGATCCTACATTGACCCTGGGATCATGACCTAAGCCAAAGGCAGACACTTAACTGACTGAGCCACCCAGGCACACCTCCCTCTGTCTTCCTGAGTCCATGAGGAGATAAGATTTCCACAGACCTCTTTGTATCTTTAGGGCAGCTTGTTGGTGGACAGGGCTATCGTTTTTCAATCTCTGGGCCATGAATAGTTCTGGAACAAGTGAGGGAAGAAGTGAACATGGGGAGGAGAAAGTAAGGACCATGAAAATACACCAAGGCCTAATCTGGATCACTAATTTCTTGTGAGCTATGCCTATCACTAAAGACTTCCTCAACGTGTTGTGGTCACATAAGCATCCTCTATAGAAGGTACTCCAGCTTCATCACTAAGAATGAATTATAGATATCTGTATTTAAAACAAATGTACAATTTGCCAATAATTTCAATTTTGTCTTGGTACATAGTAGTATCTGCATTTTACAGTTATGGAAGAGATGTGTTAGGTCAACCAATGCAGTAGTCAGTGCCAGAGATGTTCTATTAAGGCTACAGCAGGAGGTTAGCAAGGTGAGAGACAAGAAAAGAGAAATTATGGAATGCTCATGAAAAGAAATGGGCAGGAAAATCTTCCCTCCAGGGTTGACTTCTTTTTTTTTTTTTTAAAGATTTTATTTATTTTTTATTTATTTGACAGAGATCACAAGTAGGCAGAGAGGCAGGTAGAGAGAGGGGGCAGGGAAGCAGGCTCCCCTCTTAGCAGAGAGCCCAATGCGGGGCTTGATCCCAGGACCCTGGAATCATGACCTGAGCCAAAGGCAGAGGCTTTAACCCACTGAGCCACCCAGGCACCCCCAGGGTTGACTTCTTATAATGAAGGAAGTGCTCCTCCAAGGAGTTTTGGAAAAGAGACTAGTATAAAGGATCAGTATGGTCTATAGACTAGTTCCCAGTGGCAGGTACTGATTAAGGAAAGTAAAGACTCCAGGAAAGGGTAAGGTGTTCACTGATGTGTATGTATGTGTGTGTGTATGTGTCTCTTGGAAGTCATTTGGTATTCTTCATACAAAATTTTCTCCTAAAGAAGATTTATATGTTCCTCAGTTCTATTTTTCAACTGAGATATTATATCCTGATCTAAGTAACTAATACAAGCAGAAGTAAAGATAAACTCGCTGGGGAAATTCTTTTATTGAGGTACAAAAAGAAGCCTGGAAGTCAGTAAGGCATGAGTTTGAGGAAGACCACGACTTTTTTCACTCAAAAAAGAGAGCACTGCCCAAAGCACTGGCCAAGATGAGACAGTCAGAGCCAAGGATGATGATGACGGTGAAGATATTACCGCTCTGTACCCATGTCTGTGGAGAAGTTAACAACTTCCTTCATGAAGAAACTGAACTTTTCCATTACTTTTCCTATGAGAAAACACATAACAAGATTCATTAAAGAAGAGGAAATATTATATAATGTCAGAGCCAAAAAAGAACCATAGAAATTATGAGGCAGAGCTTAATGTTATAGATGAAGAAACTGAATCCCTGAAAAGGAAGGTCCTTGCCACAGACACTTTCTGACAGAGACAGAAGCTGAGTCTCCCTAGTCCAGTGATACTTCCACCCTACCTACTGCCTCCAGGGATCCCAGAACCTGGGCCCATCAACCAATGCCTTATAGTAACAAAGGAGGAGAACTTCTGACACGGGAAGCTGAGGCAGCCCGCCCGCCCCTCAGCCTTTCCTGGCCAGCAAGGCCTGTGATGAAGCTGGGTCCTGCATTCGTGAGAACGTCTACCACATGTTCCCTTCAGTGTCGCTGAACACGAGCCAGCTTCTAGGCCAAGGCCCAATGTGTGTGCATGTTAGAGCATCTTCCCTTTCGTGAATTTTCCCTGTTCCTGAATAGAAATAAAGATGCAGACATATCCTTCTGAGCTCAGGGCCTAAACTGATATTCTAACTTGTTTAGATAATCACAAAGATGAAAAATACAAGAACAAAGATGGGTAGCCAAAATCCAGTGGTCTAAAGGAGAATTAACAATGAACAAAATGGACTTAGTGTAAGGTAAGAAATGCTAAGGTGCCTGTTCTGCATTAAAGAAGTGACAACTACCTAGTTATATTGCCTTCAAAAATACTGCACAGACCAAACAAAAATACCTAAGCAAAACATGCCCATGGAACCCAGGTCTAAGCACTGATAGCTTGCATCCCCTGTTTTAGTTAAGAGAAAAAAATTTGGGGTAGCCTTCTCCTCTTCCTCCCTGAGGCTAGAGTTGTTTAGAGCCCCTAGGAATGTGAGAAGGATAAAGGCTCTCTAGCCACAGTTTGTCTAAGAATCAAGCTATGGCCACAAGTATCTTAGAAATCATGTAGGATAGTGGTTTTCAGTGATTATTTAGTATGGGGTTCAAGATCTTTTCTTCTAACAAAATACTGTGGAGAACCCCACTACCTAAAATAGCCAAAAGCTGAATTTGGGATTGGAGATCACCCCCAAATGATCCCCTTAGCCCCCTTGCCTCTCCAGGACCTCTGGGCTCCTTGTCTTACTGGACTCCCTCAATTGAGACAGGATTTGGCCGGTGGGTGATGGATGGAACTAGTTCAAGCTGGCAGAGCAGGTGGCCCAAACCTAGCCTGACTGTGAGACAGACAGTTTTCTCTCCCTCCCAGCTGTTTCTGGAATAAGCTTAGCTTATAGAGAGTGAAACAGGCTCATAGAGGAGAGGTTTTCAGTGAAGGACACTGGCCACAACTTCTTTTTCTTCCCATGAGGTACTCACAAGTTCTCAATGCATAGGTGGCATTCATTCCCATAGGTGATATAGTCAGAACCACAAACAGGCAGGTATGTGATGGGGCAGGGGATGGCCACCACTGGGTACTTCTTGTAAATGCTGCAGTCCACCTGCTGTGGGCACAAGAGAATGTCCTAGTCTATGCTGGCCTCTGTTGGGCAGGAAGCAAAATACCATCCTAGGAGTCCCAGATGAGATGTTCTGATGCCGCTGTGGCTACTTCTACTAATAATATCATGGCCATGACAAATACTAGTACTGCTGTCCCCACCTCTGTCACTACTAGCATACTCTGTTAATAATTCCTGAGCACTTCCGTGCTAGGCATTAAGCTTAAATCATACATGAATTTTCTTTGTTTAATCTTCATAACAACTGAATAGGGCAGGTTCCACTATTACACCTTTTTATACAGGGGGAAAATTAAGGCTTAAAAACAGAGAACTTGTATAATGTAAAAGCTAGTTGGTGGTGGGGTTGGGATTTAAAATTCAGAGCCCATACAATTAACCATGATAACTTTGTCCTGCCTCTCACTTGTTGTCCTTTTCATGAAGACTTTACCAACCTCTCAGCTGGAAGTCATCTCTGTCTCCTTTAATTTGAGGGTTTTGTTTGTTTGTTTGTTTGTTTGTTTGTTTTGTCTACAGTTACTTATATGTATGTCTTGTTTCTTCAACTGCCTTCTGGAAAGCAGAGGAGATTTTTTAATCTGTGCCCACCTCCTTCTTTGCCCCCTCCCCAAACATCCTGGGTTTGGGTTAATTCCACATATTATTTATTAATTCTACATATATATTTCAAAAAGATTTGTTGACTAAATGACAGTCAATAGGAATTGAAATTAAAATCTAATTCAATATACTCACTGTTGTTAAAGGCAGACTAGCCGCTTCTGAAAGAGAGTTACAGATGGAAATGTGAAAAATGAAGCAACGTCTTGAAGTCTCATTAATTAATGTTAATTTGGGTCTATCTATTGAGACTTTGTATTTGCATCAGCACACATTCTGTTCTTATATAAAACTCTAGCTGTTTGCAGAAGAAGCCAAATGGCCAATAAAGTAAGCCCTTTATTCAGGCAGGAGAATTAACCAGTTTCTTCCCTTTATTGACTATGGGGAATTTTCTGGAGCTTATCATGTCTTTAATAATGATTCAAAGTCAGATAACAATAGATAGCATTGCAGGCACCCCTCCTAGGAGCCTGAAGTACCACCACCTTTGAAATTCTCCCCCTCTGAACTGATACAAAGAAATAGGATGGAATGTCCTTAAGATGTAAGAATCTTAATTTATTTAAATAATTTTCACCATATAAAATTCTAATTGTTGACTCCTGGGCTTTGGAGAATTGTGTTTTATTTCGATTCTCCTGGATTAATTTGGAGAGACATCCAAGTTTTTCCATATCATTGCACTGAGGAATAGTATCTAATAACACAACCACTTCCAGTGACCTTATGGAATGGTAGACTTATGAAGAAATTAGTTTTTTATCTATGGCTCCATAGATGAGAATAAAAATCCTTGAAAGGGAAAACACTGGACCCAACACTCCCCAGCACCTGTTGGTACGTAAGTGTCCCCCTTCTTAGGTCAGGACGTATTGTATTATAAGCCAGTACCCTTTAAGTCCATACGACCAGACATTTCCCTCTAATGCTGAGAAGGGGTTATTTGGGAAGACAAGCTTAATGGCTACACAGGGCACTCTCTGCCCTTAACTCACCTGGGTTACTGAAGAACTGAGTCATTGTGCAGAGCAGAAAGAGCCCCCCGATGGTCTTCATGGTAGAGATGGCTGTGATGCAGAGGCTATCAGGGCTGTCATACCAGCTACGTCAGCCAGACCCTAGGAAAGGGGTCAGGTTTATATGGCAGTGCTTGGTTTCTCCACCTTTCCTGTGAGGTCATCCAGAGTCAGTGTTGGCTCTGAGAGGTTCTCAAAACACAGTCACACCCTGGGTGGTGTTGCGGTTCTTGTCACTTAATTGCTACTTATTGTTTGCCCGATAAATTGATTATTTGAGGTGAGAAGTATTTTCCTGCCTGCACCAGAGGTGGGGACTGTTATTTAGAATTCTCAACTTCAAGCAGTAGAAGAAATGAACTATAGGTCACTTGGCCTATTTATGAAATAAGTAAAGACGTCAAACTTTTTTTTTTCACCAAATAAAGAATATTAGACTCAAATTAGGCAGATCACACTTAAGTTTATATTCTCCCTCCTGGGGAAATACTGTTTATTTTTGAAGCAATGAACGCAGGAAGCAAACTGGGACCTGGTGGGAGGAATAGTGACCTTAGCATTTATGAGACTTGGAGAAGGGCATTGACATTTTCTAGCTGTGTGAACTTGGGTAAGTCATTTATGTTCCGTGAGCCTGTGTCAGTCAGAGAGACCTGGTTATGCTGTGCTAATATATAACCTCAAGATTACTCTGACTTAATATGTTTGTTTTTTACTCAAGCTATCCACATCGAGTTGTCTGCAGATGGTGCCATACTGCCTTCAGTGCATCCCAAGTGGGCCGAGTGGTTTTGGAATATTGTTCATTGTCAAGGCGAAGTAAAGATGTGTTCTTGAGAATTTCCATTTTCAGCAATTATACATTCCCCTCAGAAGTGACACTACTGTCATTTTCCCTCACCGTCAAGTGACCTGGCTCAACCATAGAGGTTACAGTGTGATCTTATCTTGTCTCTTGAAGACCAGAAGGGAGATAACTGGAAAATAGTTGCTGAACAGTACAGAGACCACCGCAGAGCCCTAAATTCATGCCCTGTCAAGTGGGACCTACTGCTAACCACAATAGAATTTACAGAACTGGAGTCACCTACATGAAAATCTGTTTTAAAATGCAGTGTGTCATTGTTACTGTGATTGTAATTTTTTTCCAAGATTTTTAAAGCTTTATTTATTTGTTTATTTGACAGACAGAGATCACAAGCAGGAAGAGAGGCAGGCAGAGAGAGAGAGAGTGGGGGAGGGGGGGAAGCAGGTTCCCTGCTGAGCAGAGATCCTGATGTAGGGCTTGATCCCCGGTCCCTGAGACCATGACCTGAGCTGAAGGCAGAGGCTTAACCCGCTGAACCACCCAGGTGCCCCATGATTGTAATTATTATTAATGATCAGTCAAAGGTCTCTGCTATGGTTTGCTGACATTAGATTGTAAACTATGTCCAAACACAATTGTCCAATTAGCTATTTTTTGTTTGTTGGGCATGAGGCCATATGTACAAAAACCTGGAGGAAGGCAATGGACTCTGTTCTACCAGTATTTTGCTTGGTGGCTTTATTTTAGTACATTCTGAAACACAGCATCTGCAAGGATAATAAGATAATAATAAGTGACATTGCATGGCTTCCTAAAATTTGACTTCTACATCTGTTTGGGAAGGAATATAATGTAGTAGTTAATACAGGCATTCAGTCCAGAAGGTCTTATTTGGAACTCTTGCTTTTAATAATTGTTGACTCTATGACTTTAAGTATACAGGTTAAGCTCTAGATGTTTAGATTTCCTCATTTGTAACATAGAAAAAATATTTACTGCCCAAAATAGCTTTGAATAGTGAATGCCATTACATACATACATACATATATATATGTGTATATATATATATATATATATATATACACACTACACACACACACACACTCTTGTGTGTGCGTGTGTGTGTGTGTGTGTGTGTGTATCAGAGTGCCAAGATTGTAATTAGAGCTTCATACATGGTAGCTAGAATATGGAATGTGATCTTCAGGACAGCTCATTGAGGAAGGAATTTTTATTACCCTAATTTTACCAGTGAGTAAGCTGAGACTCAGAGGATTCAAGTAATCTTCACAAGGTCATGATACTAATTAATAGGGGAGACTATGCTGAGTTCAGTAATGGAAAAGAAGAGACGTAAATGCCATAATAAAGAGAGTTCATTATAAGTTTTATTGTTTGCTATGATAGTTTGAAGACAATGAATATTGAGAAAAAGCCATTATATTTCAAGAAGAGGTGTCTTTGTTGCAGTTTAAAATGTATTTAGCAAAGGGGAATGGGGATGTGTTCAAAGGGAAATTAGAATGAAGTAGAGAATAGCATAATAATTTTTTCAGATATTTGATAGTCAAAAAGAGGAGGGGAGTGAAAGAAGCTAAGTCTTCAAGAAGGTCTAGGACAGATTAAACCTGTCTTACAGCCAAAAGGAAAAAGAATGAATTTAAGATACATGGTGGAGGGTGGCTAATTACAACATTATAGAAAATTGTAATTGGGAGAAAACTATAATTTGTCCTGCAGATCACATTATCATATATAGAGAGATAGATAGATATGGTATGATATATCTATATCTATATCTATATCTATCCATCTATCTATATATCTATCTCTCTATATATAATCTCATTCAATACTCAAAGCCATTCTGGGATGTAAATATTATTTCTGTGTTACAGACAAGAAAATTAAAACATCCAGAGCATAACCTGTATCTTTAAAGTTACAAGTCAACATTGTAAGGTTGGCTCTGGCTGTTAAGTTCTGGGGTTGCCTTTTGCAATAGAAAAATTGGGTTGGTCTGGAAGCTGGAGAAGGCTGGAGAGGCTTGGTACAGACATCAAAGAAAGAATGTCAGATAGTCAACAATGGATATGAAAATTAATGGCTACTAGACAAAATTAGCCCTAGATTTTTGCAGGTTCAGTCAGTACCATGCTGAATATTTCTCCCAAAATATATTATGACACCGACTAAGAAATGAAAAAAAAAAGTGACTTTCTGGATAGGGAGTATGTACATCAGAGACTGGAGGGGAGCCATAAAGATGGCCGTAGGCTCAGAAGAGAGTCAAGTATTCAAGAAGGTTCTGATAGACTACACAAGGTATGGGTAGTTAAGCGTTTAGAGGTCAAAGTTCAGAATACATGTGGACTTAGTAGTAGTAGTAGGTTTGAAGAGTATGAACAATTGTTTATGGAGGCTTTGGCTAGTAGGCAAAATGTCAGATTAATTTCTCAGGGTTGGGGCTGAGATATTAATCCTCAGGGTGTATCCAAATATAAAGCAGATAAAAGATTGGTGGAAGTAAAGTTCTTTGGATTTTAAAAGGTGAGGAAAAGTGAGATCAAATGATCAGGCATGGACCGGTTGCTTAGGTTTGGACAGCTGTTTACATAGAAATTTTTAAGTTGCATAATGAGCCATGAATTATAGAGGGAGGATCCTTTGGAGGTGAAAGGTGAAGCTTGAGAAGACAAAAAGTCATCTGTTTAAGCTGGAGACGATGTCTTTATTTCTCCTAGCCTTCCTGCAAGGAGGGAGAACTTGAGACCTTGTAAGATGATGACCATGGCTCCATGCTAGGGAAGGCAGGGTAGAACTAATGTGGAAAAACACAAATATGAAATGAGAAAAAAATCTGAGAGTATTAGGTATTTCTTCCCCCAGTGGATTTAAGGTGCCACACGGAAGAGAAAGATGAGCCATCAGAAGGTTGGAGATGAGTAGTAGAGTTAAATTTGTGCAGGACCAGATTAAAGACATTCTGGGTCAGTGAGCTGGAGGGAAAGAAGGAAGCCAGCACCACGGCTGGGCAGTAATCCAGGTATAGTTTAATGGCTGTAAGAAGGGAAAGGTACAATAAGAAATTTAACCATATATTATGCACTTACTACGTGCCTGACTGTGCTACATTTGGCGTGTGCATTATCTCATTTAAGATTTAAAATAATCCTATGAGATTGGTGTAGTTATTTGTCCCATTATTTAGCTGAGGCAATAGGGACTTAGAGAAATGGCTAGTTTAAGGTTAAAAGCCAGTGCATTTTAACTGCTCTTGTATATTGCCTTTAAATCGAAATCTAAGAGATAGATTTGGAGACACATTGGAAATTAGAATAATAGGAGTGAAACTGGTCAAATCAGGGAAGTCAAGAAGGACAGCTAATGTTTCAAATGAGCAGGCAAAAGGAACTGAGTGCTGGATCAGAGTATGTCACCTTTTCATGGGTGAAGATCATCTGGAAAGAAGCAGAGTCCCAGTGGGGAGAGAGGGTGATCTAGAGTCAGAGGGCAAGTGTTCCTTCTGCATCCCTCCACTCTCATCTGTCTAAGGTGCAGTGCTGTGACAGTCCCTTCTCTACACTGTGCTTCCTGCTTCTCCCACATCTACTGAGATGGACCGAGATTGGTGCTTCAGGTTTTCAAGTTAAAAACCCTGCCTTGAAACACTAATATGTACAACTGATAAATAAGTCTGAGGATTGGAGGTGGTTGAGAAGAAGTTGCAGCTTTACTATTTAATTCTGTATTTACCTCCTAATTGCTGTATCAGCTCATTCCAAACCCCCTAGGTTCCTTCCTTCCTGGCCTCCATCACATACTCCATCCAACACCCTCAAGGCCTTCTTGTGATAATTTTAAAATCAATGGCCTAGATTTGGGTGGACTAGCTCTTGCCTTTTTTTTGTCTTCTCTCTCTTCCTTATGTGGCTCCTTCACATTCTAGCTCTTTTTCTTCTTCCTTTCCTTTTCCTTCACCTCTTCCTCCTACTTCTCCTTCTTCTCTACCTCCTCCTCCTCTGCCTCCGCCCCTTCCTCTCCACCCCTGCCCCTCCTCCTCTCCCCTCTCCCTTCTTTCTCCCCTCCCCTCCTCCCTCTTCTTCCCTTCTTCCCTTCTCCTCTCTCTTTCCTTCTTCCTCCCTCCCCCTTCTTCTTTGTAATCCTCACTGTTCATGCCCTTTTGTGTACTGGGACACAACATCCTAGAGATATGGATATTTGCATTTTGA